CTGCCCATGCATGCTATGACCTTGCCATATGTACACATGGCGTACCTATTTTTATACATACAAAGCATTTATTCCCAAAGCCAATGACATATAAAACCAATTTATTCCCAAAACCAATGGCAAATCTCAAAATATTCAATATAACTCTCACTTATATAATTGTAGCATGTAAAATGTACCCAAAATATATTCTGTGTTGATATAGAATATAGCCAAGCTCTATATAGTTGAAAGCAACAGGTTTCAAATATCAAAATAGTTCTTACTGGTAAAATGCTAGCATGTAAAATGGAGTCTATAATATTCAGAACGCATGCAGTTGAGTGGGGAACCTCAACTCCTTCCGGCCTTAAAGCCATGGGTCATGATATTTACGAACATAAAATAAAAATACGGGAAATAAAAACAGAAATGTGCAAGTTAAAAATTCTTGACTGCCTATCGCAGTGGCGAGTATAGGTTTGCCAGCGACACACTGATTGTCATCCATTCATATGCCCGATGTCTCCTCGTAGCAATTGGGGATATGGAACGACAATCAGACAATTTAACATTTCTTGTTTTCACTAAAATGACAAATTTTAAAACAAATCAAATACTCTGAGCAAATGGATTGGTTCTTCTTTGCCACTAGTATGCATCAGAGACTTAGTTTGACATGCATGTTTACAAATCTGGTTGTGAATTGCAACTTGCAATTTGATCATGTTGGTTGCAACTTGCTCAGAGCAATCTGGCAATCAAAATTGCAATATTCCCAATAATACTGCAATACTCAGGGGAACAGAACATCCGGTTTGGCTGTAAATATTTCAGAAAATACTTGGAAAAGACCAATAAAAACTTCAACAGTATTGCAAAATCGAGCAATCCCATCAACTTTTTTATTGTCGATTTCATATTACTTTTCAAAGCGCGGTTCCCAAGTTTGTTCTCAGTTTTGTTACCAATTTTATAAATTTATTTAAAAAGGCATTTTTCGTCTTGGAAGATCACTGGACCAATATTTTACCGCAGTAATATGTGCATAGGGCCTTATACAGCAATTTCAACTCCAACTATGAACATTTGTTTACAATCAAAGTTCAAACTTTGAAATGAACTTGCGAACTTTGTTGCGAAGTTCCTGCCCAACTTCCGAATTTAGAAACGTAATTGGCAAGTTGACAACAAACTTGGGAACCGCAACTTAATATTTAAACCCTTATTAAATATCCTTCCTCAACTCTCCATGTTCATCCAATACTTCATGTGAGAATTTTTTTATCACGTAAGGATGGGGTGAAAATGGGTCATCCAGAAAACATCCATACCACCCCCACAGAGGAAATAGGAAGTTAACCCCCCTATCCCCTTCGGATGTCCTAATACATTTACTATTATCAGAAACAACTTTTTCCCCCTCCCTCTCCGGACGGCAGAAATTTCCTCCGTGGAGGGAATATGGATCTTTTCTGGAACAACCCGAAGGTAACAAACACATGTGAAGTTTTGCATATTTATTCGCTTATTTTTTACTTATTACGGATCTCACTGAACTGTGGCATTGCAATTCTAATTTTAAACAGCCAATCCCGTTCCTGGTAACAATTGCTATAAACCGTTGATTGGCGGTTTAAAACTAGAATTGTATTAAAAATTAAATAAACATTTCAAAATTATGTGGTCATAGTTGATACGAATTTTTAATACTACACCACAGTTCGGTGAGCTCCGTAATATGAATGTTTATATAGTTTTGTTTTTATAAAAGCATAATGGAAAAGGTCGGTGCTAAAAAAGAAACAGGGAAAATATTTTTAAAAAATCATGAAAAATTCCCAAAAAATGTGGCAAAAAATATTGCAGGGATTTTTGGCAAGAAAATTTCTAGTAAAACTACATTAAAACTAAGTAGAATATCCTACAATGACTGTTTATACATACTACATATCTGTTTCTATAAACGTAATGTGGTTTTAAATCGATATCAGTGTATTGAATTATGCCGTTACTTGGCGCGTGCGAATTCCGAAACTTCATGACAGGGATTTTTGAAAAGCTTCCAAAATACTCTTTATTGCTTCATATATCCTCATAAAATTTTTAAATTAATAAAGCACATCATAAAGTTAATGCACGCTCATTTTCTAAGAAGTCCTCGTCGATTACCTGAAGAAAAAGTTCTAAAATGCCCGTTCTCCTCTGAAATGGCTTCTTTTTGCGGGAAGCCATGGAATTAATGAACTTTCCAAAATTCTAATTTAGTCGTTCTTTTGGACTCATTCGAAACAAAAAAGCTATATTTTTAGGTGTTTATCTTTTGAAACTACATGCGCAACAAGGTGTATTATTAATAAACCAATGTGTTCACACTTGTCGTACAAACAACCAAAGATGAAAGACCTTATTTCACTCTTTTACAGAAATTTAAAATGCCTAAATACTAGACTATTCATTTTATTTGAGCACACAGATTATATTTTTATACAATTGGTCCTTGTAAAGGACTTATTTCAAACTAAAAAAAGAGAATTGTTATTTAGAGTCAGATTTCAGAAGAAACCGCGTGTCCGACATTTTACAACAACCTGCATTCGCATACAATATTTTCGCCACAAATCCGTTGTTTTCTCAACAGAAACAAAATGAATTTGAATTAGAATTCTCACTTCATGAATATTCAAAACGTTTATCGCCTTTTGATGACCTTCAGTGCTGTGATTATTTAATAATCATTACTTAATATATTTGTCATCGCACTTAGCGTTAAAAAATGTCGGTTGTGAAAGTCTGAATTAACTCAGAAAATTTCACCTTTTTCATCGTTTCTTTATCAAATTGATATAACATCCCTTAATCCTGTCTTTAACTTCAGATTTTGTGCTTCTTTGCTCTATTTAAGCGTACTCCTTTTCACAGGCGAGATAAACTGTACGACAACAGGAGGTAACGGCGAAATACCGGTTCTGGCCCGCCCTAAATTTGAAACATTAAAATTCAGACTTCCGATTGGTGGGTATTTGCAAAAGAATCTCTCTGATTGGTCAAGCCCCTCCTAAGGGATTTTTAAAATCTTGAAAGTTGAATATAAAATTATTTATATTCAGCATTTCTATAAATTTCGGTCGCGTCGAATGCAATCAAACAATAGATAATGACGCTTTTAATTAAAATTATCTTCAATTAAAATGAAATTCTTTTTAATTAAAATTATCACCTCATTATCTATTGTTAAGTGCATATTCCACGCGACCAAAATTTTTCGACGTATTTAACTCGACGTATAAAACTCTTTACATATAAATTCTAAAGCTTAGTTACCTTTGTTCTATTTTATGCTTCAATCTGTAAACTAGAAGAAAAAGAAATAAGCATGTGACGTTGTGAATAGCAATGAGATTTATATAAAACAACGTTTATAATAGCCAAATTTGTCTTCTGACTCTACTCAAAATTTAATCGAAGTATGGCTTCGAGGGAAGAACTTTAAACTAAAAATTATTACCGAAAACCCTTTAAAAACTTACCATCAAGACAGGCTGTTCTTTCACGCAAGCGCTGTCTCTTTATCCATGGTCGAATTGCCAGTAGAATTTTCCATAAACCAGTACAGCGATGAGCGAAATTTCGGGCCGTCTTTCACAACAAATAACTGCACGTATTTTTCTCTTTACTACAGAATCGTTTTCCCTGTCCATTGAGTTATAATTTCCAAAACTAACCAATCGCTGTAGCGTAAAATAAGCGGGTATTTGTAAACAAAAATGCCCTTTGATGATACGAAGTAAACCAGAACGCCATCTTGTCTTCTTCAAACATTACAATTTTTTCCGCCAAAAAGCCAACGGTTTTCTCAACCTCGGTCCCAGGCTCTTTGGAACGAGGTTGCGCTTTTCTAACGGTTTTCTGGGCAATCTCGTTCCCCGAGCATGCCCGTTCGCAGGTTAAGGGTGGGCATAGCTCTGGAGAAATCGAATTGATTCAGGCCTGTGATTGGCTAACGGCAGATATAGTACGTTGGATTTCCAACGTGAGTTCTATATAAACAAAGTATTTGGAATTTCTCGTCGAAAATTTGATACTTTTTACACCGAAATCGATTGAAAACAACTAGAAATTCTGGAGGAAATATGTACGAAAGCTTCGGATTGATAGAGATACAACTACCTGAAAAATACAAGGAGAACTTCGACGTTTCGAGCGAAGGCGCTTCGACTTGTGCTGTTAGTATTTGTATACATCGTACTTGACCTTTTATATACTGTCATACCTGACACTACGTATACCATAAATTCTGACAGAAGAGTTAAATGTAAATTTTAAAGCATCAAAATATATAATACATCATTAAGTACGATGTATACAAGCACTAACAGTACAGATCGAAGCGCCTTCGCTCGAAACGTCGAAGTTCTCCTTGTATTTTTCAGGTAGCTGTATCCCTATCCAACCGAAGCTTTCGTACATATTTCCCCCAGAATTTTTAGTTGTTTTCAATTCGATTTCAGTGTAAAATGTATCAAATTTTCGACGCGAAATTCTAAATACTTTATTTATATTTTGCAACATTGCCGAGCATGCGTAGAACTCACGTTGGAAATTCAACGTGAATCAATTCGATTTCTCCAGAGCTATGCCCACCCTTAACCTGCGAACGGGCATGCTCGGGGAACGAGATTGTTTTCTGGGACAAAAAGCCAAACTTGCCAAACTTTTGCCAAACTCAAGATCAAAATAAGCCGAAAAGAGCCAAACTCTAAAATTTACTGGGCAGGGTAGGGCGTGGCAATTGTGTCATAGATTTCAGTAAATTTGCATTCAATTGTATGAGGGTGCCATGTGTAAATATATTATTTATAGCAAAAACCGCTTTAAATTCTTTCAATATGGGTTGCTATTGGTTGCTAAGGGACGGACCATTAGAAAAGTGATGGGGGGGGGGGGTAAATTTTTTTTGTTTGCATTTTTTTCCAGGTTGTCAGCTGTGTATGCATGTTTTTTTTAAATATGTCTTCTCGCATGCAATTTTTTTCCAATACAACTATACAAATGTTAACGAAACTGTTCTCTTGACAAAAAATATCCCTTTAATACACACTGCAAAATTATATCTTTAAGCACCATATATGGACAAGTTTTCTAGGGATCCAGAGCATGCTCACCCGGAAAATTTTTGAATCTAAATTCTCTGAAATACCATTTCCCGGACTTTGGGGAGAGATTTTACAGAATTCCGATGGTCAGAAAACGCCATTGTAACATATCAGAGGCCCTTGGCCAATGTTTTTGCTCTATAGCCTGAGCCTGGGGCCCCCATTTGCGGGCCCATTGGGGTTGGTGGCCCCCGGATTCTCCCAGTCCGAGCCCATAGTAGTTACGCCACTGAGGACAGTGACGTGGCAGTGTGAATGAGAATTAATTATTAAATACAATAGAAAATATTTTGATAGTATATAATAAAACTACATAAGAGCTACTGTTAATATTGAAAGAAATTGCATATTAATATATTATATATTTTGATATATTTATATTCTGAAATATTCCAAAGATTTAGTTCAATTTTGTCTAATGTACATTTAAAATTAAAGTTCTATTGTTGTTCTGTTTGTAATTTTTTTTTTAAACAAGTCTGTTTGCATGTATTTTTTTTCAAACCTTTTTTGTTTGTATGGATTTTTTTTCTGTTTTTTCCCCACCCTCCCCATCACTTTTCTAATGGTCCGTCCCTAAATAAATTGTGTTGGGGATTTTTTACAAATTAGAATTACCGTCAATGGCTAGTTTCATTTCACTTCAATCACTCCAATTTTAAAGTCTAGTGGTGGTTAAAATTTCAAAGTCGTGAATCCGTGAGATTTGAAAATGTTTCCGTGAGTCCGTGAGATAATGCCTGAATTTGTGTGCCACACGGGAAATCTGTGAGAGTTGGCAGGTCTGCAGTGGCAGTGTGAATGAGAATTAATTATTAAATACAATAGAAAATATTTTGATAGTATATAATAAAACTACATAAGAGTTACTGTTAATATTGAAAGAAATTGCATATTAATTGCAATTTATATTCTGAAATATTCCAAAGATTTAGTTCAATTTTGTTGTACATTTAAAATTAAAGTTCTATTGTTGTTCTGTTTGTAATTTTTTTTTTAAACAAGTCTGTTTGCATGTATTTTTTTTCAAACCTTTTTTGTTTGTATGGATTTTTTTTCTGTTTTTTCCCCACCCTCCCCATCACTTTTCTAATGGTCCGTCCCCAAGTAATATTGTATGCAACTGGTAATTATCAATTGTACCATCATTCATAATTTAAAATATGGTCTAAAAATATGGATATTATATTACATTGAAATTTTTCGAAATATGCGTAGATATATGGTATATTTATATGTTGGTCCAGTCGCTGTATATCTTGTGTATAATAATAGCGTTTGTGCAGCATGTATGTACAGTATACCTGTATCAGAACTAATACACAAATTATGATGACGACGATGAGCGTATGATATACGTATTTGCAGGGCGCTAGCACCCTAATATTTGTTAGTAATGCGTATTCGCATGATACGCGTATTCGTATGAGACGTGTATAATACGCATGTCGTATGTTAACATATACACAAGCTGTAAGGTCATGTGATGTAATGTCATGTGACACATGTGTTGTCATGTGACATGTGATGTAATGTCACATGACATGTGATGTAATGTCACATGTAATATAATATCTGACATGTGTTGTCATGTGACATATCATTCATACCAACATTCCATTAATCCACCTTCTTGCCATAACAGAATCCAGCCCACAGACAATGATATGAAAACCTTTGAAAACAAATTGTAAATCCTGTCAATCCTACTTAACAATTCTACTCATTAAAAGGAAATAAATTATTTTACCTCTGTAAAAATCATCATCCTTGTCTTGTATTTTACAGAAATGTCTGATATAAATTAAAACCAACAACTACATTCATTTCTTATGTTTTCACACCATGATGATTTTTCTATTGCTAACCATCATGTTATTTGAAAGGATACGGTGTAACCTGGCAACCCTCAATACGGTTATTTATAAATTCTGCTGCTACCAAAGCTTTTGGTTTACCAATATCCTTCGACCTGAATATTTATAAAATAATGCAGTAATCACTACAAGTAACAATACAATCAAAATATAAAACAGAGTTCTGGCATTTGAAAAGCAATCCTTGTCATATCATTTGGGGATATTATATTACATATGGAAAGTCAAAAAGTTTCAAACCTGAAAAGGAACTGTCTGTTGAGGTTTGAAAGATCAATTGTATCCATATCAATAACATCAATGTTTTGAAAGCCACTAAGTGCCTGAAAATTCAAATATCATATGCCTCAGAGTTCAAACACTGATTTGTACTAACACAGGCATGGATTCTCTGGGGGGTACGGGTGCGCGCAGAAATGATTTGCACACACCCCAAAGGCATTTGGCACCCCCGCAAATTACATATATTTTGATTTGATAGTTTCATATTTGATTATTCTTACTACTAAATTTGTAAAATTACCAATATTATGGTCTCAGATCTCGCCATGCAGGCCTAGAAACCAAAATTTTGTTAAACTTTTTCCTTGGCCTTTCCGGGTGTTGCCACCATGCCCAAAGCAAGCGTAACACCCCCCAGATATTTATCCCCCCCCCCTAAACAAAAATGTGAAAATCTGTGTCTGTACTAACACAAACGACAGTGATCTTCTTAATCGTGAACAGTGTGTGCCAGTGTAGGTAGTGGCAATAATAACAAAGCTTCACATGTCAAAAAACTTCACAACTATGTGAAAAAATACAAAGAGAACTTTCGAGTGAAGGCCAAGCTTCATTGTTGTCGGTCCTTAGAAAGGTCTTCACTCAAAACGTTGAAATTCTCCTTGTATTTTTCAGATAGCTGCGCATCCTTATCAAACTGAAGCTTTCTTAGTGGGGTTCTTACCAAATCTTTCAGTAGCTCACAACCCAAGCCTCCTGCTCCAATGACGAGGATTTTTGTGACTTCTCTTACAAACTGGAAAATCTAATTATTAAGAATATAACAATTTATCAGACTCTAATAACATATTTCATCTAATCATCTCTGAGTTTTCCATGTTTGTACAAGTTCAAAAGCTAAATAGAAAAATATTCCAAGACAACTTAGACAAAGACAAGTGCCTTCATCAAACTAGTTGCCTGTTGGTTAACCTTTTTGTGTAGGGCATTAAAGATGCCAATGATTGTACTTGCCAAGGGGACAGTGCTGCCACTCTGCATTGCACTCAATAAAACTATGTAGAGTTTAACAGCTTACATCAGGGCCAGGTTCGAAGTCTGGGTGGGCAAAAGGTCCGTTTCTGTTCAACAATTTCTCCACATGTGCCCATCTTCCTTCCTGCTCACTTCTATCAACTGCCATTCTGGAGAACAAATTGTTTACACATTTAATACAGCAGAACGTGCTCCACTTTATTACAAAAGGTTAATATCCTCATCATTTAATATTTAAACACAAAAATCAAAACTTACGGTGAATCCACCCCGTTGTCGTCCATCTTTTAAAGGTGAAGTGCAAAACATCAATCTGACATGAAGTATTGAAGTTCTTCATGGAAATGTTTGCAGGCGGTTAAATTCAAAATGGCGGCCAGCGAAGGAGTGAGAAAGCTAAAAGAACATTATCTTTTTGGTTTTGCGAAGTTTTTTAGCTTTCTAAATCACCAAAAGTCTTCGGGACTCACTCAGGGTGTCCAAGTAAATGCAAAAGGCGACGATAAAATGAGTTATATGACTCCAGTAAGAATAAATGTTGCACCAAATTTTGACAAAACTTGTGTGACATGGCTAACTAGTTTTCACTTGTCAGAAGACACGGGTAAGGTTCATGTGTGCGGATGGTGCAATGGAAGCAAAATTACTGCAAATGAAAATGTTCTCCTACCTATTGAGAGCAAAATTTTGGATGTTCAAGGAGGCTGGAAGGAATTGATATTAATCTCCAATGATGGCAAGTGTCATATGATCTCAAATTTGCACAATGATTGGACAGCTGCTGTTTATGAAAATGAAGCAAAATTCACAACATGCGATGTTGGTGACATGCATACAATTGTTGTTGATGAACACGGCCAAGCATACAAGTTAGAAACTGTGAATAAAATTCATCAGAGTTTAAAGACAGACAATCAAATGAAAAGTGACAGTCGTCTATTTTCACCAATACAGTTGAAAGTGAAAGTTGATTTAGTTAGTTGTGGCAAGGAACATGTATTGTTATTAAACACAACATCAGGACATGTGTTTAGTTTTGGCCTTGGTAGTCGGGGTCAACTGGGGCATGGTGGCGTTGATGCAGAAACCACGCCCAAAGTTATCGAGGCGTTGGCAGGTATTCGTATTAAACAAGTTGCTGCTGGTGGCTGGCATTCACTCGCATTGAGTGACATTGGGGATATCTATACATGGGGCTGGAACAATCATGGACAATTAGGGATTACATGTCTACCCCCAGAGGTCCCTCAAGCATTTCACATGTTACCCTATATCATTGAGTTTCCACAAGAATGCATGGTTAATCATATTGCATGTGGTACAAGACATTCCGCGGCTGTGACGTCTGAGCCAAAAAGTGTATGGACATGGGGCTGGGGGCAGTACGGCCAGTTAGGGCATGGGGATAGTCTTGATAGAACAGTACCAACTGTGGTAGAATATTTTCAAAACACACAAATATTGGAGATTACTTGTGGTCCATGGCAGACTGTGGTTACTTTAGAAAGCATTTATGAGAAGTAATTGGTTTCACTAAGTACTATCATACAGGAAATGGTGGTCCACTGATATTTAGCAGTCTTGCATTTGGTAGCAAATAAATAGAATTGAGAGATCTGGAGTTTACCAAATCTGTGTCTACAGATCATAAGTTGACCATCAGATCTGCTGCCCTGTAACACCTACTGAAACCAACCAAGTAGTCTCAAGCACATGTGATGAAATGCATTTACTGTATTACTAGAGAAATATATTTTCTAGGTTTGCCCTAATTTAGTTCTAACCTCATCAATCCCTGCTACGTCAGTAACTTCCAAAATTAAGATGATAAAATGTCATACATTTTTGAATTACTAGCCAGCTATTGAATTGAACTCCAGGTGAAATGTGAAGTGTTCAGGGAAAAATATTTCAACAAAAACAAACTGTTCTATCTTACAAAATATCTTTGTACTTCCTTGGGTAATTTCATAACAACAAACTAAAATTTAGAAAAAATATATAAAAAATATAAAAAAATATGACGTCATCAGTACGCATCACCAAAATGACATCATCAGTATACTTACTTTCGGTATACTTTGTAAAACAGTTGACTGGACGTGTCTGAGATAATCTTTGACAAATACTGTTATCTTCACAAATGTTTCTAAATCAAGTGGCTTTTAAAAGAAAAGAAAATAACTTTATAAATTTTTTTAGCCTTATTTCCCAAAAGGTGGGCAAAACAGGAAACATTGTTTCCTAGCCATGTTTCCTGAAGGTGGACAAACCAGGAAACATTGTTTCCTAGCTATTTTCTGTAACAAAATGATCCGTTTTACCTGGCTAGGAAGTGTGTTATCAGAACAATTTTGATAAAGATCTGTGCATTCGATGTACATGAGTAAAACAGCCTGAGTAAAAGATTCAGCTGGCAATTCCTGCAAATATACCAAGAAAATATTCCCACTCAACTGTAATTTTTTTCGATTCCTGCCAGAATACCTAGTGTTGCATTTTTCACAACCATCCCTGGTTCAACCATCTACTCTAATATTCAGTTTCAACCAAGTGAAGTGCAGAAACAATCTTGTATTTTTTTTGTATTTTCTTGAAAGGTCTTGTGAACTTTATCTAAGGATTAGCCATCTTTTGAGAGGTACTCACGTCTTGAAAAGTGTGTCTATCTTGCCGTGTGAAAATCCTAAAAAAATAAAATTATCTTTCAAAATTAATACGACCAAGGCACAAAGGAAATTAGCCCCATATGATTGTTTTAAAAAATGCAATTTTCCCATACCTAAAGAACACGACAGGGAGTAAACGACGACTTTTACTCTCAAACAAAATGAGGCGTGCGGATAACAGTTCTGCATCTTGTTTTACCTCTTCTAAAATGAAGAAGAAATATTCAGAAAAGATAACTTCTTGAGTTCATGCATATATATTCAGGATTTATTAATTTAACTACAATTCATTACATCCTGTACTTACGTGTGAATACGCGCAAGACATCTGAACAGCGAAATAAAATGGCCTGTATATTATATAAATGCATAAGTTACAAACATGAATTTAGCATGGAGCTAAGAAAAAGGAATACAAACTAACCCTACCTTGGTTATTTCATGCCAAAGCTCGTCATGCAGTTTCATCTGTGATATGGGAAACACAAAAACAATGCATTTACATGGATAGTATTTTACATTGCGAGCAAAACCTCTGCTCGCAGTGCGGTAATAGTATTTAGGCAGACGACTTCATGTATATGTCTATGCATATAAATCCTGATGAAGTCCGAAAGTTCGATACTTTAAATATTTCAACAAGTTTTAACACTTTTACCAGTGTTGAGATAAAACCACAAGAACTGGATTTAGAAATAAAATGAACGTATACAATACTAATTTCATTAAACAGAAATGCACCGTAATGCGCCCACTTTGTTAATCTATAGGCAGATAGAAACACAGAACTTACCTCATCTTCATGGAAAGTCATTGCTGCTAAGTAAGCCATGATGCTGTCCCAGAGGTAGATGATTATCTAAACACAATATAAATGTTACATGGCGTCATTAAAAATAAAAACTTATTGCGAAAACAAAATTGATGTTTTGAGCATCAGTAGGTTATTTTATTCGAGATTTTTCCATCTTCACGTCAGAGGTGGGCTACTGGACTTTACGTCAAAAATCTTACTAAAATATCTTACTCTTTTTCCTGACTGAGAGACTAATAGCCTGTCAAGCAAACCATTTAATCTGCGCAGAAAGTCTTTGACGTCTAATATACTGGCTTGTATCCTAGAACATTAAAATTCGAATCAATGAATTTCCAGGCATGCAATAATAAAACGCAACAACTCCCTTTACAAATGGCAAAACTCCCTTTTCAAATAGCAAAACTCTCTTTTCAAATAGCAAAACTCCCTTTTCAAATAGCAAAACTCCCTTTTCAAATAGCAAAACTCTCTTTTCAAATAGCAAAACTCTCTTTTCAAATAGCAAAACTCTCTTTTCAAATAG